AGGAAAGGGAATGATGTTCCAGATAGAGAAGAGATCTCAGAAAGTACGAAGTCCAATTTTTGAATGCTTCATGAAAGTAACCAGAAAGTCGAGAGCCATGAAACTAGAATAGATATCCTGACCTACCACTCTGTCAAAAGGTTAAGAAAACAAATTTAACTGAGATGTGGCTCAGTTAATTACAATACAAAATGATTATAAGAGGACAGAAAATAAGGAGTAGAATAGGGTCCCCTTAGGCAGTGAAAGCATGTCGGGAGGGTATGCCCACAAAATAGATGAAATTATAAATTAATATTGCAAAATAAAATAAAATTAAGAAAATCATAGTAAAAAGAACAATGTAAATCAAAAGTAGAAAAACTTTAATTCAAGTATGCTTGTTTTACAATATTAGTTTCGGGTGTACAACATAGTGATTTTATAGATTATACTCCACTTAAAGTTATTACAAAACAATGGCTATATTTACCTGTGCTGTTCAATATATCCTTGTTGCTTATCTGTTTTATACATAGTAGTTTGTGTCTTAATCCCTTACCCTTATCGTGCCCCTCCCTTCTCCCCTCTCCCCACTGGTAACCACTTGTTTGTTCTCTTTGTGAATCTGTTTCTGTTTTGTTATATATATTAGTTTGTTTTATTTTTTAGATTTCACACATAAGTGATAGCATAGAGTATTTGTCTTTCTCTGTCTGACTTATTTCACAAAGCATAATTCTCTCTAGGTCCATTCACATTGTTGCAAATGGCAGAATTTCATTCATTTTTTTTTAATTGTTACAAATATTTATTAAAAAGTGCAATTCAAAGTTTAGGCAAGTACATCATTGCAAACCACACACACACAAAGGGAAAACAAAAGCCCAACACAAACAAAAAAACAAGATACAAACAAAACAAGAAAAAAAAGTTAGCATGCTAAGGAATGGACCCCAAGAGATGAGGAGACAGAAGTCAAAGCTAGAACTCTACCCAGATGTTGCTGTGCTTCCCAAGTGCAAAAGAAGATGGAGAGGAGGGACCTGCAGCCTCTACCACTAAGTGCTGGCTCTGGGTTCAGCTGCTACTTCAATATTAGGTTTTCATCAGGGAGGTTATAAAAGTATCCTATATACATGTGTACACTGGAAGCATTTTAAAAGTCATCAGAAGCTTGAAGTGTATAGTGTCTCAGCAGTTTCAGCTACTAAAGCCCAATTAAAGCATCTGTCATTTAAATTTGGATTGGCTTAGTTATTTGAATGGATGATAAAATAGAATTGTGAATGAAAATGGCTGAGTAATATTCCATTATGTATATATACTACATCTTTATCCATTCATCTGTTGATGGGCACTTAGGTTGCTTCCATATCTTGGCCATTGTAAGTAATTCTGCTGTGAACATTGGGGTGCATGTAACTTTTTGAATTAGTGTTTTCATTTTCTTTGGATATATACCCAGGAGTGAAATTGCTGGATCATATGGTAGTTCTATTTTCAGTTTTTTGAAGAACCTTTATACTGTTTTCCAGTATGGTTGCACCAATTTACATTCCCACCAATAGTGCACAAGAGTTCCCTTTTTCCCACATCCTTGCCAGCATTTGTTATTTGTGGGTTTTTTTTATGATAGCCATTCTGTAAGGTGTGAAGTGATATTTCACTATGATTCTGATTTTCATTTCTCTGATGATCAGTGATGTTAAGCATCTTTATATGTGCCTGTTGGCCATCTGTAGGTTTTCTTTGGGTAAATGTCTATTCTGGTCTTCTGCCCATTTTTTAATCAGCTTGCTTGTTTTTCTGATATTGACTTGTATGAGCTCTTTATATATGTTAGATATTAATTCCTTATTGTTCATATCATTTACAGATATTTTCTCCCATTCAGTAGGTCATCTTTTCATTTTGTCAGTGGTTTCCTTTGCAATGCAAAAACTTTTAAATTTAATTAGGTCCCATTTGCTTACTTTTGCTTTTACTTCTTTTGCTAAGGAGACAGATCTGATAAAATATTGCTATGATTTATGTCAAAGAGTATTCTGCTTACAGTCTCTTCTAGGAGTTTTGTGGTTTCAGGTCTTACATTTATGTCTTTAATCCATTTTGAGTTTATTTTTGTATATGGCATGAAGAAATGTTCCAATCTCATTCTTTTACACGTAGCTGTACAGTTTTCCCAGTACCACTTATTGAAGGGACTGTCTTTTCTCCATTGTATACTCTTCCTCTTTTGTCATATATTAATTGACTATAAGTGTGTAGGTTTATTTCTGGGCTCTCTTTTCTGTTCCACTGATCTATGTATCTATTTTTGTACCAGTTCCATGCTGTTTTGATTACTGTAGCTTTGTAGTATAGTCTGAAGGCAGGGCGCATGATACCTCCAGCTTTGTTCTTTTTTCCCAAGATTGCTTTCGAAACTTGGGGTTTTTTATGGTTCCATAGAAATTTTAGGATTATTTATTCTAGTTCTGTGGAAAATGTCATGGGTAGTTTGATAGGGATTGCATTAAATCTGTAGATTGCTTTGGGTAGTATGGAAATTTTAACAATATTAATTCTTCCAATCCAAAAACATGGGATATCTTTTCATTTCTTTGTATCACCTTCAGTTTCCTTCATCAGTGTTTTATAGTTTTAAAAGTATAGGTCTTTCACTTCATTGGTTAAGTTTATTCCTAGGCGTTTTATTCTTTTTGACACAATTTTAAACAGGATTGCTTTCTTCCTTTCTCTTTCTGGTAGTTCATTATTAGTGTATTGAAAAGCAATAGATTTCTGTATATTAATCTTGCATCTTGCAATTTGCCTGAATTCATTTATTAGTTCTTATAGTTTTTTTGTAGAGACTTTAGGATTTTCTATATTATAGTATCATGTCATCTGCAGATAGTTACAGTTTTACCTCTTCCCTCCCAATTTGTATGATTTTACTTCTTTTTCTTGTTGGATTTCTGTGGCTAAGACTTCCAATACTGTGTTAAATAGAAGTGGAGAGCATGGGCATCCTTGTCTTGTTCCTGATTTTAGAGGAAAAGCTTTTAGCTTTTCACTGTTGAGTATGTTGTTAGCTATGGGTTTGTCTTTTTTTTTTTATGGGTTTGTCTTAAATGGCCTTTATTATTTTGAGATATGTCCCTTCTATACCCAGTTTGATGAGAGTTTTTATCATGAATGGATGTTGAATTTTGTCAAATGCTTTTTCTGCTCCTATTGAGATGATCATGTGATTTTTATCCTTCCTTTTGTTAATGTCGTGCATCACATTGATTGATATACAAATATTGAACCGTCCTTGCATCCCTGGAATAAATCCCACTTGATCATAGTGTATGATCCTTTTTTATATATTGTTGAATTTGGTTTGCTAATATTTCATTGAGGATTTTTGCATCTATATTCATCAGAGATATTGGCCCATAATTTTCTTTTTTTGTATTGTCTTTGACGCTTTGGTATCAGGGTAATGGTGGCCTCAGAGAATAAACTTTGGAGTTTTCCCTCCTCTTAAATTTTTTGGAATAGTCTGAGAAGGATAGATATTAATTCTTTTATATGTTTGCTAGAATTCCCCTATGAAGCTGTCTGCTCCTGGACTTATGTTTGCTGGGAGTTTTTTTTTTTTTTATTATTACAAATTCAATTTCAATACTACTGATCAGTCTGTTCAGATTGTCTGTTTCTTCCTGATTTAGTCTTGACAGGTTGTATGTTTCTAGAAAATTTTCTATCTCTTCTAGGTTGTCAAATTTGTTGGCATTTAACTGTTCACTGTATTCTCTTATGATTTTTTTTTTTGTATCTCTGTGGTATTTGTTGTTATTTCTCTTCTTTCATTTCTTATTTTGTTTATTTGGTTCCATAAAGTAGAAAACCTCTTATATGTGTGTAATTGCTTACCCCAAAGAAGAAAACCAAAGCAGTGGAAGAAAATAAATATGAAACATTCTAACTCAGGAAAATTCTTGAAATTAAAAAAGGAAAGACTTTAATTTCAAAGAATAAGTTCTTGCCCAAATCTATACAAAAAGAGCAAGTCATTTATTTAGAAAAGAAAAGCAGATGAGAGAGAGTGAGTGAGGGAATGGGAGAGAGGAGCTACATATAAAAAAGAATTAATATCTATCCTTCTCAGACTATTCCAAAAAATTTAAGAGGAGGGAAAACTCCAAAATTTATTCTCTGAGGCCACCATTACCCCGATACCAAAGCGTCAAAGACAATACAAAAAAAAGAAAATTATGGGCCAATATCTCTGATGAATATAGATGCAAAAATCCTCAATGAAATATTAGCAAACCAAATTCAACAATATATAAAAAAGGATCATACACTATGATCAAGTGGGATTTATTCCAAGAGAATAAGAGACATATCAACCAATTAATTGCATGAACCTTATTTGGATATTGATTCCAAAAAACAAACAAACAAATTTTAACATGTTCAATACAATTAGAAAGTTGAAACACTGCATATTTGATAATATTAAGGAATTGTAATTTATAGACATAAGGGCATTGTAGTTATGATTTTTAAAAGGTCCTTTATTTTTAGAGATACCTCCTTAAATATCTATAAATGAAATTATATGATGTCTGATATTTGCTTTAAAATAATAAAGGAGGAGGGGAAGTAATTAATTAGATAGATAAAACAACATTGGCCATGAATTGATAATTGCTGAAGCAGTGTGACAGTTAAATGGGATGGTTCATGGTATATTGTCTACCTGGTATATGTTTAAAATGATTTGCAATACAAAGTTTAAAAAGAATTTTTTGTCCTCAATAGGATGGAAACTTCAAGCCTAGGCAAAATAAATGTTTTCCATTTTCCTAAATAAACCTAAAGACGTCTAGAGTGCCAACTTATAGAAATCTTTCCCCTCGTGTCATGGTAGCCTGCTGCAATTGTTTAGATAAATCTTCTTTAACGTTAATTTAACTTCTTTTAACATCTACTCAACTGGATGCATGTGTCTGAGAAGGATTTCATGGTTTTTTTTTTAGGATTGTGGAAAAGGGATATTACAGTGAACGAGATGCTGCAGATGCTGTCAAACAAATCCTGGAGGCAGTTGCTGTAAGTATGAAGTGACAGCAATAGTATAACTCTGGGTAATGTCTTCCTTTTACAGAATCATCATTTAGGAAGTGCATATCTGTGACAAGCCGTAAAATTTACAGAAAAACAGTATGAAATATTTACTAGAAAATGTTGAACAAATTTATATTTTCTATTGATAACTCAAACTCTGAAAGATGCGGTCCTCATATGTAATGCCATAAGTTTGTAAAACTCATTTCCGTTCTATTATTATGAATCAGATCAGACTTTGGTGCCTATAGTTGTTCTTTTCTCTCTCTTTCCATTTCTTTAGTTTATCTCTTTATTGTTTTTGTTGTTTGGTAAGGAAGTGGAAAAATGTTCAAGGAGATAAATATAGACCTTAGAGCATAGAGATTATTAATTTTTCTTTCAAGAGAAGAAATGAGTAAATTAGGAGAAAAATTCTGACAATTTTATTTTTTTTAAAGGGAGAAGTATGTTAACATTTTAAACTGGAATAAAGTTTTGTAAGTTAATGATGGAAACATGGACACACATTTACCAAAAAATATATATATATATAATTTTGAGAAGTTGGTTTGTATTGAATTAATAAGGAAATATTTGCCTAAATAAAACAGACTTGACTGGTGCAAATCTTCCTATAGATTAGTGGTGTCTAGTATGTCCTGGGACACTTTGGTGATTTATTTACTGAATATAAATCCAGAAGAAATTATTCTCTGAACAAACAGGATGGGGCCCAAAGGGACATATTTATTAGGATCAGTTAAAGAGACAAATCTATAAAATCTACCCAGAATTAATATATATTCTATTAATCAGAGTCAGTTATATAACTAAAATCATTAGTCAATATCTTGAGGAGCCACAGTGACACAAGTACATGTCCTATGAATTTTACCTACAACCAAAACAAGAAGGAGGGAAGGAGGAAGGAAGGAAGGAAGGAAGGAGGGAGGGAGGGAGGACTCTTGATACCTAACAATCTTATGTACCAATTGTGGGTGGGAAAAAAAAATCCAGTCTTCGCAATCTTTGCATAGGGCTGCTAGAAATAGAAGATCTGTGATCTAACAAAATCCATTATTGAGATATCAACGCCGAGTTCATATGGCTTTATAACCCAGACTTTCCAAATTATTTTTTCCTATAAAGCGTTTTGATCTTTTTGCTATGGTGGGGGATTAAAAGTCTGAGGGCTTCCCTGGTGGCGCGAGGGCTTCCCTGGTGGCGCAGTTGTTGGGAGTCCACCTGCCGATGCAGGGGACGCGGGTTCGTGCCCCGGTCTGGGAGGGTCCCACATGCCGCGGAGCGGCTGGGCCCGTGAGCCATGGCCGCTGAGCCTGCGCGTCTGGAGCCTGTGCTCCGCAACGGGAGAGACCACAGCGGTGAGAGGCCAAAAAAAAAAAAAAATAGTTTGAATTTGGGGTGGGTAAAAGCTGGAGAAGATGCCATGGAATTTTACTTTAAATACACAATGCAGTTCCTGATTATATGAATTTTGAATATCAAATTCATCTTTTCACCACACCTAAAATAACCACTCCATTCCAGATTTTTCATCAGATACAATATATTTACCATCTTGGCTTCCTAAGCTTGCCAACTTGGGGATCGTTTTTAACTTTTCCATCACCTTCTCTCCTCACATCCACCTTCCCAACTTCAGTTGAATCTCTCTTCAAGTATCCATGAACATAATCCTGCTCCCTATGTCATGCTATATTTCTAGCATGACTTTAAAAAACAATTCTGGATGCTTCCAATTCCTGTCTCTAAATATACGTCTGTATATGTCTATCAGTCCTCTTTGCAGTCACTGTTTTCATTTTGTCCCTTTTGAGTTCAGTAATGGTAGTTTTATGCCTTACTTAAATACTCATTTTAAATCTTCTTTTTTCACTACTGTGTTCCATAGATTATCTATTCAAGTAAACTTGCTGGCAGTGGCCCACTATCACTTTCCTCAAATCAGGCAGGCAGCTGGTATAGCAGTTAAGAGTACTTTGGGGGCTTCCCTGGTGGCACAGTGGTTGAGAATCTGCCTGCCAATGCAGGGGACACGGGTTCGAGCCCTGGTCTGGGAAGATCCCACATGCCGCGGAACAGCTGGGCCCTTGAGCCACAACTACTGAGCCTGCGCGTCTGGAGCCTGTGCTCCGCAGCAAGAGAGGTCGCGATAGTGAGAGGCCCGCGCACCGCGATGAAGAGTGGCCCCAGCTCGCCGCAACTAAAGAAAGCCCTCACACAGAAAGGAAGCCCCAGCAGAGCCCAAAATAAATTAATTAATTTAAAAAAAAAAAAAGAGTACTTTGGGAGTCAAACAGAGCTGGGTTCCGTTTCTAGATGTGCGAGCTTGGGTCTATCACTAAATACCTCTGAGCCTCAGTTTCCGCATGTAAAATAGGCATAACATTCAACCTAACAGTTGTGGAAAAGACTAAATGAGATAAGGTATGGAAATCATAGCAATCTACAAAAAAGAGGGAAAAGAGGATAAGCAACTTCAGACTCAGAATATTCATTTAAAGATGTATTACATCTTATAAATCTATATATACATATACACTCCACAACTGAGTACTAAAATCAAAGACGACAATGGTAGGTGCTCAAAAATATTTGCTGAATAAATAAATGAAAATTTATCAAAATAGTCAGAAATAACCACTATTCTATATTTTGTCTTTCTAGATGATGACACATTTACTGAAACATTCTTATAATCATTTTTCTACTCAATTCATATGAAACAAAACTATGTAATTTGCTTCCATTCATAAGATTCTTTTCTACTCCCTTACTATCATTTAATTCTTTTCCTTTCATTCAAAACTTACCTTCTTCAATATGTTTTTTCTGGTTGCCTCCATCCATTTAGGTCAGCTCTTGACACTTTTGGCTTATCACAGTGGGCATGCTTCAATTTAGTGATACCTCGGGTGGCTGACTGGGAGAATTCTCATTCAGTGAATGAGAAATGGATGCTTTCAGCATCAGGATTTTCCACCTGTTGGAGTTACATCAATTGAGGGATAAAAGAGCCACCAATAGAGACGGAGATGGAGGTGCTCCACATAGAACACAGGGACTAGAGTTGCTAGAACTCTATTTCAGGTCTGCAAAGATGGATTGGTTAGTCTACTGCTAATCTTAAATTTAAAACAAAAACTGTGTTATTTTACCTACTCATAAAACTCTACAAATCTCCAGTTTAGGAAGCAGGTTACTGCATTCAAGTCAAACATTCTTTGAAAGAAGTTTTATAAAAATCAGAGTTTCTCTGATTGCTGCCCCTAAGGGTTAACTTAGAGAAAAAAATTAATTTCCCTCAGTGTTTCACAGGTAGAAAGCAAACAATTTAAAACTTGTGAGAAGTAGCTGACATTTATGAAATAGTTTATTGTCAACTACATGGCTATAGATAGCTATAAAAATAAGACAGTTGGGAACTCAAAGTAATCAGTGATATATCTCACATTCCCCTGAATCACACACTTTTAAGACTGTATCTAGGCTGGTTTTTGAAAGCACAAAAGTAGAAAACTTCAAGATTAAAAATTTCTTGGGAAATATGTCACAGGCATATAATGACACCCCTTAGGCAACAAATCTTGTAATCCTTCTCTTCCTCCCCACTTCATCCCAATTCTTGCCCCAAATATTTCACACTATTTGTCTGACTGTAATCTTACTCCTTCTGCATTTTAGCTTTAAATAGCATTTTTGAAAGCTTTTAAAATGAATATGAAAGATGTTTCCCCCTTTGCGTTTGAATTCATTCAGTTAGTCTTTAAGTGCAGATCTTTAAGCCTTCTTGAGTAGTCTATCTTCCTGAAATGAATTCAAGGTTGTCCCAAGTTAAACGGTCTAGTCAGTCTGGACATTCAGGAAAGGTCATCGTGTCATGTGTCATAAACCACAAGGCCAAACCTTAAAGCCCTCCTTTTCCATTTACTTGTAGAGATAACCAGGGACTGTTTCATCTCCTCTGGCAGCTCACTATTGCCACCACCTCTGGTTCTTTCCTTGTTATCATTGCTATCCTACTGTTCCTGTGTTTTCAAAAAAATTGCTGTCCTTCTCTTTTTTCCACCCCTAATGCTGCCTCCCCTCTTTTACTAACCACAGTTCTCTTGGGCATGTATTAATTTCAAAGCCATGAACTTGGAGCCTGGAGAAACTTGTAATATAGGAGTATACACTGAACTTAATAAAATAAAAGGAAATGGTTGAAAAAATATTAAATATGCTTGCTATCCCAACACAGAGATTTTTTTGTTCAAATCGTTTTAAATATTATGGTGATGGACAGTTGCAGACAAAAGCATCTAACCCTTTAAGATTATGGAAAAAAATATGGTATCTGAACATCAAAGAAAAACAGGAAATGGACATGATTATAAGGATGCAGAAATAGTGGAAGCTCCTTTTGGTAAATTTTTAAAAACCTGTAATCTCCCCTAAAAAAGAACGAATTTAGCCTATTAGAGAATCAATCGGTAAAGAACTAATGACTAGATAGTGAAGAACTGGAAAGGCAAAAGGGGAACACTAAGCTAATGTATTGTAGAGGTAGCAGCTTCGAGAAGCAGCCTCCTCTTGGACTGGAGAAACCAAGTAAAGAAGTTGAGATTATTAAAATTTAGAAGTTTAAAGGAGGTGCTCTATAGACCTGTGTGAAAGTTCACTGCTTGGCTAGGCTGGTGTCTCTTTTCTAACATTAGAGGCATTGCCCATGCAGCGGGCACTCAGACCTTTGAGAACTGTGTTCTGGCCAGCTAGTGCTGGTGTTACTGAAGAGGGACTCTGGGATTGGTTCTGTGAGCACTGGAAAAGTGCAAACTGGAATTAGCAACTGCTATCAGAATGATCTGCCACTGCGGGGTTAAAAAGTGTTTCAAAGGTACTTGGGAAGAACAAGCAGAAAGACAGACTCAAGGAGCAAGTCCCTTCATCCGCTTCAAGGCTTCCACTCTCTTCCTAGTGCCCTCTAATGGCAGAGCCAA